CAGCTACAAAACATACTTCGCCCCCAAAAAGGAATACAAAAAGAACTTGAACTGAAATCAGTTCAAGCCTCTCAAACTAACTGCACTACTTTGCATAAGTAGCAGGGGATGGAGGAACGTGTTAAATGATCCCATGAGTACTGAAGCAGCAAAATTCAGAATCAGGAAAATTCTACAGGACAAGCAAATTGGTTTCTTCAACAAATAAGTTGTTGGCAGGAAAAACAAAAATAAGGATGGGGAGTAGAGACTCAGAGACACACCCACCAAACGTACCACGTGGGCCTCTTCCGAAGCTGGACCCGACGCACTGGAGAGATGGGAAAACTTGCTGGAAAGGAGGTGATGTTAAGAGATGATGTTATTAAGTGGAGGTACAGGCATTATAGTTATGTTTTCAAAAAGGATCCCTAACTTTAGGAGAGCTATTTATGGATTAACTATGATTCTAGGATTTGCTTCAATAAGGCAGTAAGGGTTTGGGGGATGCGGTGGCCAACAGACTGGCCCCTTTGTGGTTAGTTGCTGAAGTGGGGTGAAAGGCACAAAGGGTTCCATGATACTATTCTCTCTACTTTTGTGTATGTTTGACATTTTCCATCATTAAAAGTTTATATATATTACACACACACTTACACACACACGTACCTAATTCTATCATTAACCCAGAGATTATACTCATGGCCAGCTCCCATTTACAAAAATTAACAACATACATAGACCTAAAAAAAAATACAAAAGGTTCTTTTTTCTTCACTTGGACCCAAGCGTAATGATGGATTTCCTTGCTAGCCAGGAAAGCTCACCAAGATAAACAAGTAAGAGTTTAAAATGTTATAAGCGGCTAAATTCCTGGCGAGGTGTTCTGGAAAAGAATATACTGGATATTCTGGGAAGCAAGAAGAGCAGAAAATTTTCTGGAGGAAAACCTAGGGTCTCTGCCTTAAGTCAATATTGGTCATAACATCCAAGAAGCCCATTTACGTACAACACCCCGTGTATCATCTGTGCTTGGAGTTAGGGTTTTATAGTAGGGGCAGGGTTAATCACATTATCAATGCTCACAGAAGGTTTTCCAAATTTCTCAATAATAATACCAATCCACCTGAGTTGATAGAAACATAAGAGCCAGTCTTCAATACCAGAAAAATGAGGCTGCTTTTGTCTCCTACACAGCCTAACTCAGGGGAAGGCTGTGAGATTATTTTTCACTTGCAAAGAATTTTGAGCATGGCATGCATGCCCATGTTTTGTCTCCTTCCTCAGAGGACAGAGTGAGCATGTACCGTGACAACGCAGCCAATTAAACACTGCCTCTCAAGGCAGTGCTAGCCAGAAAGCTGCAGTGACTCCCCCGGGACCCACAGTGAGTCCAGAACCTTCTCCCATGCCAAGCCTCAGCCTCCACTGGGGAGGGTAGGCATCCCCACAGACTCTGGCAGGGAGTGAGGACTGCCCCCTGGGCAGGGATGCATTTACCCCTGCGAGTCCCCAACGTGAGACCTTGCTAAGGAAAGCAGAAAGCAACTACGAAGAGCACTGGCCCTTCTCTGCTCTGGCTGCAGGTGTCAAGTACAGCCCTCCCTGTGCTGGGTGCTTCCCATCCCATAAACCCGCAGAAACCGAGGCCACCTCTTCCTCTTCTTGACATTAGTTCCACTCCAAGCAATGAATCGGCTTCCCAGGGCCCCAGACGGAAAGGGCTTTCCTCAACCACTCCCCACTCACCCCCACCCCAAGCCCCGGCACCTTTGCTTTTCGAGCGTTCAGCCTACAGTTGTGCCAGTGGCACCTGTACTCGCAAGCAAATAGCCATGGCCAGAGCAGCGGGGGCCAAAGGGATGGGTCCCAGGCCTGGCAACCTCACTACTGAAGCCAGAGTGCCACCGGCGCGGGGGGGAGGGGGGCAGAGTGCCGGGCCAGGCTCCCCTCTGAGGCTCGGGGGTCCTGTGTGGCCTCAGAGTGATCCTGACCCACCTGGAATCTCAATCACCTTCCCTAGAACTTCTACAAGGGAAAACTGACCTAACTGCAACATCCACATGGCACAATGCCTAGCATTCAGTTGCATATTACCTAGACACACTGTGAAGTCCCAGCTTTCCCTGGTAACGAGAGAAAGCTACCGTGTGGCCGAATGAAAGAATGAACTCAATCTCCGATTCAAGCGGACAGCCTAGTAGAAGACCTCCAAAATTAAACTGTTTGCTTCTGCTTATTTCTTATCTGGCCCTTTAGCAAAAGTGACACAGGAAAATGCAGTCACAGCCCAGAGATGTACCCTAGCAGGCATATGAGCATCTGGAGGCTGGCTGGCAGTAAGGAGAAGGTAACAGAACCTGTACTAGTGCGTTGGGAATGGACAAGATGAGCAACAAAAGAAGACCGATTTGTCTAAGCAAATTTTTAAAAAGCTGTACTGCAACACCTTGGGGGCTCAGTGGTTGAGCATCCTCCTTCGGCTCAGGGCGTGATCCTGGGGTTGAGTCCCATGTCGGGCTCCCTGCAGGGAGCCTGCTTCTCCCCCCTCTGCCTATGTCTCTGTGTCTCTCCCTCTGGGTCTCTCATGAATAAATAAATAAAATCCTTAAAAAAAAATTTTAAAAGCTGTACTGACCAGGGCTAATTAAAGTAACCACCACCATGGACTGAAATCAGGGGAGAAGGTGGGCGTGCATACACACCACTGGATAATGATGGTAGAGAAGCAAAAAGCTGACAGTAAAGTTAAATGACTCCAGGCCACAGTAAGCATGTGGATGGGATTATCAAAATCCACTGTGTGGTGGGACCTGCAGAGGGCATGATTATGTCTCAGGGCCAGAGAAAGCCAAGACCCCCTGGCAGGACCCAGCTCACCTGTCTACTTTGACTCCGTTGGTGCCTATTATATGTCCTTAAGAAAGAAATGGGCAAACAAATCATCAACCAAACCAATCCTGGATGATTAAGAAAGTGAATCTCAACCTAGTATTAAACAACAGGGTTTGACATGCCCAGTAATTACCCTTTATATGGGGCTGAGATAATTATGCTTGTCAAACACTGACATTCTTGTATCACTTCCCTGTAAAGAGCAATACTTTGGTCACATGTGACACACTGTCATTGTATCTGCATACAGGATTCAAGAGAGTGGCATGCTGCCCACCCTTCCCGAGAATAGTAACCACACAGATCCCTGCCATTTGCTGAAGGTTGACTATGGCAGGCACTGGTGCTGCCCTCTGGACAATTTTTTTTAAGATTGATTATTTATTTATTTATTTATTTATTTATTTATTTATTTATTTATTCATGAGGGACACACAGAGAGAGGCAGAGGGAGAAGCAGGCTCCCTGCGGGGAGCCTACTGGGGGATTCAATCCCGGACCACAGGACCACGCCCTGAGCCAAAGGCAGATGCTCAACCACTGAGCCACCCAGGTGTCCGGCCCTCTGGACAATTCAGCCCAATGATCACGGCTCTGGATTGAACATGCATGTCCCCCCAAAATTCACAAGGCAAGCCCTAACTCCCAATGTGATGGTATATGGAGACAGAGTCTTAGGGGCAATTAGATGAGGTCATGAGAATGGGGTCCCCCAGGATTGGGTGTCCTTAAAAGGAAAAGACACTGGAAACCAGAGCTCACCACCACCATGGAGAGGCATGGCAAGAAGGCAGGAAGCAGGCCCTCACCAAATTTGCCAGTGCCTTGACTTTGGCCTTCTAGCCTCCAGAACTGTGAGGAGGAAATGTTGGCTGTTAACTCCCCCAGTCTGTGGTAGTTTGTCATAGCAGCCCATGCTAAAACCATCCCCACTGACCCATGAAAAAAGCAGGCACAGAAGGTTTCATGAAGCACATGCTCAAGTTCAACAAGTGAAGCCAGGCTCTGAATCAAGAGAGAATAGACTCTCAACCCACAGACAAGCATGTAATACCCTTTCTCAAGAAAATTAATTCTTTCGGAAGAACAGTATCACCAGTTAGAAAATAACTTTTGTTCACTGAACTTGCTGACTTAATACAGCTCACATAAAAAGAATTCAACCCCAAACTCTTAAGTAGGGATAAAGTTCTAACTGTAAAGATGCCAAAAGGAAGAAGATCTACAGACCAGACTGTCCAACAGGATGTTCTGGGACAATGGGAATGTTCCATTATCTGTGCTATCCAAGGCAGTGGCCACTAGCCCAGTGGTTCTCAACCAGGGCCTCGTGTGCCCTCCAGGGAACATTTGGCAATGTCTAGAGACATTTTTGGCAGTCACAACTGGGTGAGAGGGTACTACTGGCATCTAAGGGGTCATAGCTAAACATCCATAGCTAAACACAAAGAGTTACTTGGTCCAAAACATCAATCACGCCAAGGCAGAGAAAAATCTACACTAGCCACAAGTGACTGCTGAGCATTTCAGATGTGGCTATGCAACTGAGGTTCTAAATATGTAATTTGGGGGATCCCTGGGTGGCGCAGTGGTTTGGTGCCTGCCTTTGGCCCAGGGCGCGATCCTGGAGACCCGGGATCGAATCCCACGTCGGGCTCCCGGTGCGTGGAGCCTGCTTATCCCTCTGCCTGTGTCTCTGCCTCTCTCTCTCTCTCTCTCTCTGTGTGACTATCATAAATAAAAAACAAATAAATAAATAAATAAATATGTAATTTTATTCCATTTTAATTAATTTAAGTTTTAGGATAAAAAATGTTGAGACTAATCCGAGTAAAACTGGAATTCAAATTTAAACAGCCATATGTGTCTTGGACAGTGCAGCTACAGAGAACATGCATAAAAAGAAAATAAAGGTCTTATTTCTCACATATTTCCACTTAAAGGAACCAAGTTATCTTCAAGCAAAAGAAAGAGTCTGAGGCTTAGGACTGGGAAAAGATAAGCACAAATAAAAGCATAAAAGCGAACACCCATGAAGCTTTGGGACACATGCCCAGGCACCACACAGGTCAGCCCAAGAGGAAATCACAGGAAAAGTGCCCCTTCTATAATCACAGGCAACTCACTCTTGCAGGGTCTCCACCCCTCTCTCCTTGTACTGCAGTTCTTGCTTCATCTGGGTCAGCTCTCGTTTTAATCTGGAAAGCTGAAGACAAATTACATTTTTTTTCCAAAAAAAAGCTATGAAAATGATTTCTACAGTTGTTAGCATTGTCATCCAAGTTCCTGATTAGCTTACAACCCCCTGGATCATCTATCTTCTCTGTGAACTTCCATCCACGGGCATATATAACAGCCATCCTGGAAGAAGTGCCTTGCTTAGATACAAAAATCCCAGATCATTGACAGGTTCCTACCTATGTGGAACCCCCAACCATTTTCTTTTTCAAGGCAGTGATTTATACATTACAAGTAGCAAACTATGTAATACTTTTTTTCATCTTCCCTCTACTTACTACTTAGATCCCATGCATGAAACACTGTTGCTAAAAACATGCTGTCCCAGTAGGGAAAGTCAATCCCCTGAAGTGCTTAGTTCAACAGATTCCAGCACCCACTTCAGGCCTGTGTTAAAACTCAGGGGCTGGGCCTGGGAGCTTATGTGTTTAATCAACTCCCCAGGTGTTTTTCTCAGGTGCACTAAGTTCTGAAAACCACTGCACTAGAAAAGAAACCCTGGTTTCGGGAACGAGACACCAGAAGAGGAGGCTTCATTTCCAAGATGTCTCCCACGCCTCATTGCCAATGCCACAAAACCGTCCCCCTTCCCCTACAACCAAGACAGGGGGCTGAAAGGATGAGACAGGGTGGCACATAACGAATTCCAGTGTCACTGGGGAAGGAGCATCAGAACCTTCTGGTCATAATGGCACTGCAGGAAGGATTTCCCTAGGAATACAGCAACCAGGGAAGAGCAGCGGGTGCTAAAGCTGCCAAGGGTCAGACCTGGCATCCCTCTAATACAGGGAAGCAGTCCTTTGAGATCGGGGCCTAATGTCACCAAATCCTTCCAAACTGGGTGGGAAGAGTCTAGCTCTATTTCTAGACTTCTTCTGTATATCTAGAGGGATATACAGGCCATTTTTTGATAGACGGGCTGAGGTTTCAAAAAGAAACTTTTCCCCTCCTATTAGAAAAAAGTGAAAAGTAAAACCAAATGTAATAATAATCCACGAAATTGAAAATTTTACCAAGATACGAGTGTTACACACACTGACCACCATGAAGTGAGCCATGATAAGTTATGTTACATAAAAATACATATGGAGCTTCTAGTCATGAAAGCACTCATTTTACTCACCCTATCCCGACGACTTGCTATTTCTGCTTTAATTTGGTATGGGTCGTACTTTGTATTTGCTGAATATCCAGAGAAGGCTAAACAGAAGGAAAATACTTTATTTTATAATGGATCCTTTAAAATAAGTAAATACACATAGACAGGAACTTCTGAATCAACCATTAATTCTAAGTCTCCGATTTATAAGCTGGCCCTGGCTCCTAAGGGATTAACATTTCACATCCTCAAATCTTGATGTTTCACTTGCCTTTCTGGGTGATTCCACATGAGGAAATCCATGGCTGTCGGTAAGTCAAAACTCTGTTCACTTCGACTGCAAATTTACTCAGGTTTAAAAACCACAGATACACTCAGCAGGGTGCGGGGGTGATTGTGGTATGGACACCGGCTCTTACTACAGAAATAGTACCCGCAGCCTGAATCCATTTTGACACTCTTTGCACATGCGTACGTACACACATGGATGCCTCTAGAAGGACGGATACGGATGGTTATTCTCGATGGTTTCATCACCAAAGATTTCATTTCTATTTTCTTCACATCTATATTCTCCAGGTGAACAATTTTTGATGTAAGAAACAAACGACTACCAAAGATTTCGAAAATAAGAGACAACTTTCTAGTAACGTGTCCGCATCCGGCAGGCCTGCAAAAAGCTGTTGGTCCCAGGCGCACGTCCGGGCACCCCGCAATGCGGCACCCCGACTGGGACGCCGGCAGCTACTTTCGCTGCGGGTTTGGCTGAAACCCACTGCACGACTGGGCAGCACAGCCCGCGGGGCCCAAACCCCGACCGGCCACAGCACCGGCAGCCCGACAGCCAGTACCGGGGGGCTGGGCACAGCCAACTTCTGCGGGCGCACAGACTGAAGAGCCTCCCCCAGCCTTCCAGCGGCTCTGGTGCCTGCGGCTGCTGCTCACCTCTATCACCCTGTTCACCTCTCCGCGTCGCCTCTTCTTGATGCTCCTGCATCCTTTCTCTTTGGCTTCGGAAGCCGTCGCGTGTGCGCAGCAGGGCCCCGGCCTAGCTCTACCCTAGCCTGTCTGCACCGTGGCCACCCCACACCAGTCTGATCTGCTTCCGGGCCACTGACATGAACTCCACCTGCGCAGGAGACCCAGCTGCTGTGCCAGCACCCTCCCCTTACTCCCTTGACCTGGTCCTGAAGGCTGACTGTCATTCAGATAACCAGGTGCCAACTGCTAGAAGCTAGTGCAAAAGCCTTTCCTGACTTTGTATCAGAGAAGGATGACTCCAAGTCATCAAGCGGCTTACGCAGCAAGATTGTTCAACAGCCCCAACCAGAACTACACCCGAAGTTAATCTGAGCAGTTCGGAGGACAGCTCTTTAAAAAACAGTTCTATGAAATACTTACCACTGAAGTCCTTATCAGTCAGAAATTCAAACCATTAGAATCTACCAGAAATAATTATCTGGACGAGCTAAGCATTTGCCAACTTTATCTTAAATGCTCTTATATTTAGAATCATAGTATCTCAGGACGCCTGGGTGGCTCAGTGGTTGAGCGCCTCCCTTCGGCCCAGGGTGTGATCCGGGGTCCTGGGATCAAGTCCCGCATCAGGCACCCCCCAGGGAGCCTGCTTCTCCCTCTGCCTGTGTCTCTGCTTCTCTCTCTGTGTCTCTCATGAATAAATAAATAAAATCTTTTTTAAAAATCATAATATCTCAAAGACAGGGAGTAAAACATTTTTAAAATAGAATTCTTTCTTAGATAAAGAATATCTATTTCCAAACCCTAGAAACTTCCACCTTGACTAGCTCTTTGGCTTCATGGAAGATCAGCACAAGAGTGACACCTTATACAAAGCCCTTAAGAGTCAAAAATCAGGGACACCAGGATGCCTGGGTGGCTCAGCAGTTGAGTGTCTGCCTGCAGCTCAGGTCCTGATCCCGGGATCCTGGGATCAAGTCCCACATGGGGAGCCTGTTTCTCCCTCTCCCTTTGTCTCTGCTTCTCTCTGTGTCTCTCATGAAAAATAAGTAATCTTTTAAAAAAAAAATCAGGGACACGTGGGTAGCTCAGTGGCTGAGCGTCTGCCTTTGGCTCAGGTCGTGATCCTGGGGTCTTGGGATCGAGTCCCACATCAGGCTCCCCGCGGGGAGCCTGCTTCTCCCTCTGCCTGTGTCTCTGCCTCTCTCTGTGTCTCTTATAAATAAACAAATAAAATCTTTTTTAAAAAGTCAGAAATCATTTATATAAAATCTCCACATTAAACTCCAGGGACTTAGAAGTTTCCCAGACCTGAACTGAAGGGATTTCCACATGGACCCAGATAATAAGCCCATGAGCCTCGGGCTTGCTGACTCCTCACTTCCACGTGTGTCAACTCGTCACCTGGCATTTGAGGAAGACAATGCCAACAGTTACCACCTGGGATTGTTCCCTTTTGGGGTAGAAAGTAACCCCATCACCAAAGTCCAGGGGAGGTAACTGCGATGTTAAACAGCAGTCACACCCTGGCCTGAAATCGTTGCCACAAAATTCCTGTGCAATGTCATAGGGAAAATCAGCAAAGAGACTTGAAATAACAGGATGCAGCTGGACAAACACACAGCAACCTGTCCCCCAGTTTCTCCTTCCTAACTAGCGGGACCTCGAGCTTGTCGGGTATGCACCTGTGCCCTGGGAGACTCGGTGTGTACCTAGCCCTGGAGGGGGAGCCTGAGAAACCGTAGCGTCAACAAGCCGCCGAGTCACCCCATGACAGGAGGACTCTGTCGTGTGACAATAGGTGTCCTTTGTCCAGGTCCACGGGAGTTAGTCTTTTCTGTTACTTACAGCTGAGACCGTCCTAAATGATGGAATAGGTTTGGCTTATGTAGATAGCATTCATGTCAGCTTTGCTACAGTCCCTACAATATTAAGATTCCAAGAGTGGGAGGAGGGAACAGGCAACTCGATTACCTAAAACAGCGAGCACACTTATCTTCAAACCCTAAGGAGAGTCGTGAACACCGGCATAACTTTGAATAATATAATTCAACTCATATAGTTCTTAGTTCCTTACATCCGCCAGTAAGTCTAATGTAACCCATTTCCAGAGTCCAAGGAATACCTCCGGACTCCAAACTCCATTTTTCACAGCACACATTTCACAACATTTAAAAAAAGAATTGTTGGGAAGCCTGGGTGGTTCAGCGGCTGAGTGTCTGCCTTTGGCTCAGGGCGGGATCCCGGGGTGATCGAGTCCCACATCAGGCTCCCTTCAGGGAGCCTACTTCCCCCTCTGCCTCTCTCTATGTGTCTCTCATGAATAAATAAAATCTTAAAAAAAAAAGAATTATCTTCCTTATCTTCTGTTAAGACACATCTCCGATCTCAAGGTTTATGATAAATGCCAGACTTTCACCTCTAAAGCTTTCTTCTCTCTTGAAGACTTGAGTGGGCACAGCTATTAAACAGCTTAAGGAGTCCATGCAGGCATACAGTAGCGCTATGGGGGATCTGAGAACAAGGTTATGATCTAACTGGACCACAGAAATGTAAACTATCGTACCTTGCTATTAGAAGGTGCCTTCTACCTTTAATTTCACCTATTCTCATAAAATCTTTGTGAGACTGGGGCATCTGAGTGACTCAATCGGTTGGGCATTCAACTCTTGATTTTGGCTCGGGTCGTGATCTCGGATCGTGGGATGAAGCCCCACGTTTGGGACTCTGTCTCTCTCTCCCTCTGACTCTCTCCCCTACCACCCGCGTGCTCACTCATGCTCTCTTTCCCTAAAATAAAATAAAACATCTTTGGAGAGATGATTACTTATCCCCACCTGACAAAGACTAAGTTTGTAGTGACTTGATCTACATCAGTCAAAAAGGGACTTTCTGTCTCAAACTTGGGCTCCTGTGGGCCTACAGCCCAAGATTCTTTAATCAGATCAGCTTTTCCATCAGGAGAAGCAATGGACCTCTGGCTCCCTGGTGCCAACTGTCCGATAGGTGACCATGACCTGTGTTTTTAGCACTCAAGATGCTGCAGACCCCAGTACTTATTCTGGATTTCGATTTTCTGGGGTCTTGAAAAGGGAAAACATGCATGCCCGTGTGCCTGTCCGCCTCTATCTCCCTGTTTCTCCATTCCACACCGGCCTCCTCTGTGCTGTGAGAACCTGAGATCGCCCCAGGGGGATGACACGCTTTAAAAGACCAGAAGTCCTTCTCCAAAGACGTCCTCTGGGCAGACTGGTCCTGAGGACCAGGTGCGCACCTCCAGGCAACAGCACTGCAGGGAGTTGCTCAAGGAAGCCAAGAGAATTCTGGCAGAAAGGATGGCAAGCCCTGACAGTTCCCATGCTGACAGGTACTAATTACCAGAGCAGTGACAAAGGCACGCATGTAAATAACCCAGGCGAATGGAGGAGGGCATGACATTTGTTTTTAAAGCCACCATAAGCAAAAGAAGGAAAAAAAAAAATCAAGCCCACTCACAGGGTGACCTACAGAAGTAAGACAAGATGCCACCAAATTCAAAATAAGAATCTCTCAGAAATGTTATCCAGGATGGACTGGGAGATTATCTCTCAACAGACATGCATGCCCTGCAATCACCTTCAAGATTGAGTCTTGCCAACTAATACCTGTGAAAAATGCTGCGTGATCCATTTTTCTCCTGCCAGCTCCAACACGCTTGCATGAAGGAAAACAAAAGGTTGAATGGATGGACCGTGGCCATTATCCTAAGCAAGATAGTAGAGGAGAAACCCTCTACGGTGGATAACCAATGGAAGACAGTCTTTGTGGGATGGGCTTAAAGCCTCAGAAAGAATGTTGGCAAAACTGATAACTGATAAGGTCAAGCTTCACCACCACCTAACCCAGGAATTCAGGGTGGGTCAGCACTTTCTCACGGGAGAGTAGACCAACTCTCCCAACCACCCAAAGATACTTTTGGTGCAGACTTCTGGTAGTTTCTAGGAGCCAGGATAACAAAGTCATATTCCTTTTTTTTTTCTTTTTCTTTTTTTTTTTTTCAAAGTCATATTCCTGCTGCTGGAAAACACCATCACAAGTCAATCTAGACTAGTGGATGCTCACCTCTGGGAATCATCTGGGGAGC